TACTGTTGTAAAAGGACTTGGGGTGACAACACTCTGTGCCTCAGTAAGCCAGGTTTGGCCATATGTCTATTAGAACAGTCAAATTAATAGTGAAAATGAAAAGCAGATTTATTCAGTGTGGCCACATTGAGAAGAGGGGCAAAGAGATTTAGTGATTCTCCCAAATCTATGTTTGGGGTCCTAAAGGGAGGTTAAGAATTAAGTTGAGACCAGAGTTATGCATGTCTAAGCAGTCCCCCGTCAAGGTGTGGTCCACCCAATGTTGTCAGGGCTCCAGTCTTCCCAGCAAGGTGGTCTGAGAAGTTTTCAGCACTGTGTGAAACCTCATTCCCGGAGGAAGTTCCTCTCTGCTGGTCTTGGCTTTAGGCGTTCTTCTCTCCCAGCGAGAGATTGACTCCTGGGGGAATTCCAGTTTCTTTTGCCCATTGTTTCAGTAGTCTGAGGGACACGAGTGTCTGTTTAGAGTGTGTTCATCTCTGTTAGGCTGGTCACACTGGGACTCTCAGAACAGTAAGGACCAGACTTAAATACACAGGCCCCTGGTAGGCGTGGCACAGTAGGGATTTTAGCTCCTTTCTCCCCTCCTCCTCTCCTCTCTCCTCAGCTTAGCTGGCCCCTCCTTTGGGCCCCTCAACACAAAGCCCTGGTCTCTCCCTCCTTGCATACAGGGATATTTTTAGTTAGTAAGAGGGATTATCAGCTGAGTCCCAGGTGGCAGGGGCCTGGCTGGGAGTAAGGCCAGCTAGGCTTCAAAGAGCAGGCAGGGTGGGGGTGGGGTGGGGGTGGGGGTGGAACTCATGGGTAGGAGGGCCTTGAGGATAATAAAGGTCCAGACTTGGACTGGACATGCTGGCCCAGCCACCTACACTGACTCTCTGGTTGACCTCACTCACATTCACTTGCCTTGTGGGCTTCTCAGGCCCAACCCAGCTTGAGCACAGGAGCCAGACTTTAAGGAAATGACAAGGGAGGCCAGGAGGGTTTCCAGGCAGAGTGAGCTTGCTGGGACCTGTAGCTGGAATTTTCTTGCCTTGCCCACAGTCAGGACAAATCTCTGTCACCCGCCAGCCCCACAGCCGCTCAGACCCAACCAAGTAAACACAGAGACTTATATTGTTTACAAACTGTATGGCTGTGGCAGGCTTCTTGCTAACTGTTCTTATAGCTTAAATTAATCCATTTTCATAAATCTATACCTTGCCACATGGCTCGTGGCTTACCGGCATCTTCACATGCTGCTTGTCATGGTGGCAGGTGGCAGTGACTCCCTCCGCCTTCCTGTTCTCTCAGTTCTCCTCTCTGTTAGTCCCGCCTATACTTCCTGCCTGGCCACTGGCCAATCAGTGTTTTATTTATTGACCAATCAGAGCAATTTGACATACAGACCATCCCACAGCAGGGACCTGCCTAGGAATCATCTAGAAAGCCTGTGGTGATGTATACCTTTCATCATAGCACTGGGGAGGCCGAGACAGGAGGATTTTGAATGCCAGGACATCCTGGGTTACATAGGGAGACCCTGAATTTAAAAACCAAGGCCTGAGGTGGGGTTGGCTCAATTATGAGTGCTTGCCCAGTAAATGAGGGGCCATGGGTTCTGTCCCAGCGCTGCAAAAATACTAGTAATATTTTTATACCAGGTGTGGTGATATATGCCTATTAGCATTTGAGAGGTGGAGGCCAGACTGGGCAAGATTATGTCTTTCAAAACCAAGGGTTGGGGATGTGGCTGAGGAGTAGAGTATATCATCCTCTAGTGAGGAGCTGGAAGTGTATAGCTCAGCTGAAGAGAGTCCTTACCTAGAATCTACCAGGGGGGCTGGGCCTGCCTAGGATCTTCCAATAAGAGGGTGGAGACATGATTTGGCAGTAGAGCACAGACTTAGAATCCACCATTGTGGATCTGGGATCAGAGTACCTTTCTAGAAATCTCTCAGTGAGGGACTAGGGTCATGGCTTAGTAGTAGAGTGCTGGTTAGGGCTGGAGATGTGTCTTATTGGAGAACATTTGCCTAGCCTGGTTAAGGATCTGGGTTGCACTCTCAGAACTGGGGTGGTGTGGGGAGGGGATATGAAGAAAATCATCCAAGGCCTTGGTGATGACTCAGTGGGTAAGGTGCTTGAGTTCAAGTCCCCAGCACTCATGGAAATGCCTGTAATGCAATGCTGGGGATCAGAGACAGGATTATCCTGGGAGCTCACTGGCTAGCCAGTCTAGTCAACTGACGAGCTGTAGGTTCAGTGAGAGACCCTGTCTCAAAAAATAAGGTGGAAAGCAAGTTAGGAAGATACCCACTGTCTCCAGGCTCCACATGTACATGCATGGGCTCATGCATGTACATGCCACCCACAGCACAAAGAATCCTCCAGAAGCCGCCACATACCAGTGACCCCTCAGCCTTTCTCAGACTACCAGTCTTCTCTCTGGTGACCATTATTGACACTGTCACTCATGCTCACACTGCTCTAGGCATCATTCCCAACCTCCTACTTGGAAGGGACTATTGTAGATCCCATTTACAGATGGCGAAACTGAGACACAGAGATTAAGTCATCTATTCCCAAGGTTATATAACTGGTAAATGACTGATCCAGGAATTAAATCAATCAAGATGGAGTGTTTATGAAGTGAGGAGTCACCACCTCCTATGTCCACCTCCTCCATTCTAACCCTCACCATAACCCAGTAAAGTAGGGATTTGCTGTATTCCCTTTTCAGATTGGACAAATGAGATGTGAGGAGATGGAGCTGAGTTTCAAAAGAAAATGTGAAAACTGAGGAACCCTAAAGCCCTTCGTCTTACTTCCTCAAGATTGACTGCTTTGAATTCCCCAGCAAGGGGCTGGGGACATGGCTTAGCTGTGGAATTTAGAGTTTCGATACTGGAAAAGGCAATACCCAGATTCTCCCAGGAGCCTCCAGGGCAGGCCAGCTGGCACCTTGATTTGAGCCCAGTGAGACCCATTTGGAACTTGTAACCTACAGAACTATCAGAAAACCAGTTTGCAAGAATAGCCATAGGAAGCCAATCTAAGCATCATAAGTTTATTTGGCCTAATTTTGAATTTTATATTGATAGCATTTTGTGTAGATATTATTTGTGAGTATGTGTGTGTGTGCACGTGTGTGTGCATGTGTGTGTGTGTGTGTGTGTGTGTGTGTGTGTGTGTGTGTGTGTGAAGTCCTTTTGCATTTTGAGGAGGGAGGAGGAGGGTGCTGAGGATCAAACTTGAGCTGATAGTATTTTGTGTAGACACACCTGCCCTCAGTATTGATTTTGTTATTCTTTTCTTGTTTGTCATTGTGAAGTTGATTTTTTCTTTTGAGTTAGGGTCTTTCATTGCCTATGCTGGCCTCAAACTCACTGTGCAACCAAGAGTCTCCTGCCTCTCATATCTTGAGTACTGGGATTGCAGGAACATGCCACATGCCCACTTTTGTGAGGTGATTTATTTTTCTTTGTGTGTTTGGTGGGCATAACTTTGTGTGCATGTTTACTTGTGTGTGAGAGTACACACACAAATGTGGGCATGTGCATATGGGGACTTTGGGTTAATTTTATGTGCCTTTCTCAATTCCTTTCTACCTCAGTTATCTTTTTTGGACCCAGGCTTGCTACTTCAGCCCTTCTGATTAGTCAGGCATGCTCTGGGAAGCTCTTGTCTTCAGCTCCCATGGGCAGGGGTTACAGATGAACTGCCATGTCCATCTGGCATTTATGTGGTTCATTCTAGTAAATTTTATCTTGAAAGAAAAGAAAAACAAAACAACCCCCCTCCCCCAACAAAAACCAAAACCACACCAGCAGATGTCAAACTTCAGTTAAGTGGTCTCGTCACTGTGACAAACATGCATCAAACAACTGAATGGGAGAGAGATTTATTCTGAGTTCCTGCTTGGGAAGTGTCATTACATCATGGTGGGGAGGCTGTGGTGGAGCAGAGCAATTTGAGACATGGTGACCAGGAAGTAGAAAAGAAGGAATAGAGGAAGGGCTCAGGCAAGATGCAGCCCGAGGACATGCCCTGCCACCTCCAAAGGCTCTTCCTACTTTTTTCTGTATTCTAATATTGTGAACTCATCAAAGATGAACCATTGAATAGATCAGAACTTCCAGTATCTAACTATGGAAATGCCTTCTTAGACAAACCAGAAGTATTGCTTACTGACTTTTATTTTATTTTATTTTATTTTATTTTATTTTTTTGGTTTTTGAGACAGGGTTTCTCTGTGTAGCTTTGCGCCTTTCCTGGAACTCACTTGGTAGTCCAGGCTGGCCTCGAACTCACAGAGATCCACCTGGCTCTGCCTCCCGAGTGCTGGGATTAAAGGCATGCGCCACCACCGCCCGGCCCGCTTACTGACTTTTAAAAGAATTATTTAGTTTTATGTGTGTCTTAGTGACTTTTCTTTGCTGTGATGAAACACCGTGACCAAGGCAACTTATAAAAGAAGGTATTTAATTGGGGCTTGGTAGGGAGTGTGGTGGCAGGCATGGTGCTGAGAGCTTACATCCTGACCTGCAGGCAGTAGGCAGAGGGACACTGGGTCTGGTTGGGACCTCAGTGACACACCTTCTCCCAAAGGCCACAGCTCCTAATTCTTCTTAAACAGTCCACCAATTAAGGACCAAGCATTCAATACGTGAGTCTGTGGAGGCATTCTCATTCAAACCACCACAATGTGTGTGGGTCTTTGCCTACATGTATGTCTGTGCACCCCATGAGTGCAGTGCCTGTGGGAGCCAGAAGAGGGCGTTTGTTCCTTGGAATTAGAGCAGCAGATGGTTGTGAGCTGCTGTGTGGGAGGTGGGAATTGAACCTGGGTCCTCTGGAAGAGTGGCCAGTGCTCTAAACCACTGAACCATCTCTCCAGTATTCCCCCTCTTTTGACATTTCTTTAAGTAGAATGCTCTGTGACTCTGGGTATTCAGCCTCTCCCATTTGTACACACTCTTCAAGTTGAGTTGATTTGTACTTACCTGATTGTGTATCCACAGCATGTTGTTGAGCTTGAATGAGTGGCTGTGGCAGGAGAGGTTCTGGTTACCACCCAACAACACATGGGCAGAGCTGGAGGACCGAGATGGCCTGGTGTTCGCCCACCCTCACCACATGCTTGCTGCCTTGCCAATGGCTCTGGTCCTGGTGGCTCTGCGCATCACCTTTGAGAGGTGAGTGTCATACTGTGGCTGGTGTAGACCTGTGTGTGTGTGTTTGTGTGTGTGTGTGTGTGTGTGTGTGTGTGTGTGTGTGTGTGTGTGTGTCTACCCTCTAGGGGTTTCCCATTTTCACATGCCCAATGACCCCTTGTTTTAGACCTAAACACCTTTTCTTTCTTTCTTTTTTTTTTTTTTTTTGTTGGTTTTTCAAGACAGGGTTTCTCTGTAGTTTTGCGCCTTTCCTGGAACTCACTTTGTAGACCAGGCTGGCCTCGAACTCACAGAGATCCTCCTGCCTCTGCCTCCCGAGTGCTGGGATTTAAGGCGTGCGCCACCACCGCCCGGCTTTCTTTCTTTTAAAAAAAAATTATTTTTATTTAAGTGTGTGTGTGTGTGTGTGTGTGTGTACCATGTACATGCAGGTGCCCACAGGCCAAAAAATGGTTTCAGATCCCCTGGAGGTGGAGTTACAGGTGGTTATAAGCTGTAACTTGGGTACTGGGATCCAAAATATAGTCCTGGAAATACACCAAGTGCTCTTAACTCCTGAGCCATATCTCTAGCTCTGAACATCTTGTTTTCCTGCCGCCACTTCTTAAGTGTTGGATTACAGGCTTCCGCTACCACTCCCAATTTGTGCTATGCAGGAGATGGAACCCAGGGCTTTGTACATTCTAGGGAAGCATTCTGACATCTGAGCTGCATCTCCAAACCTCTGCAATTCTTTTAAGGCTGTGTTCCAAGGCCAAGCCCATGGTCCATCTCAGGAGAATCCCTTTTTAGGTCCTATCCCTGACCAGAAGTGCATCTTGGTTTGTGGTTCCCACCATCAAGGGGATTCTGAGCTCTCAGCCCACTGAACACAGGCAGGATGTGAGGGACCCAAGGAACATTCACTGAACTTATATTTACCTCATAAACTTAAAAAAAAAAAACTTGTGTGTGTGCAGAAGTCAGAGGAGGACGTTAGCTGGCCTCTATCAGTCTCTGTCATGCTACCTTCTGACAGCGTGGCTAGCAAGCTCCAGCGATCCTCCTTTTTCCCCCTCCACCCCTATCCCCCAGAGAGGTGAGGTTATAGGCAGGCGTGTGGCCACACCCAGGTTTCTGCATGGATGCTGGGGATTTGAACTCATGACCATGCTTGTGTGGTAAATATTCTTACTGAACTCTCTCCCCAGGTCCCTTATATATTTCTTTTGAAAGCTTCTATGCCATATACAGCTCTAAGATGTCTACATGAAAATAGGGATGGGAGATGTCTTAGGGTTTCTATTGCTGTAGAGAAACACCATGACCATGGCAACTTTTAGAAAGGAAAACATTGAATTGGGGTGGCTCACATTTTCAGAGGTTTAGTCCATTATCATCATGCAACATAGTGGCTTGCAGGCGGAAATGGTGCTGGAGGAGTTGAGTATCCTACCTCTTGCAGGCAACAGGAAGTGAACTGAGACACTGGGTGTGGCTTGAGCATATATGAGACCTCCAAGCCTACCTCCACTGTAAGACACTTCCTCCAACAAAGCCACATTTCCTAATAGTGCCACTCCCTTTGGGGGCCATTTTCTTTCAAACCAACGTAGGAGACTAGGGTGGTACTGTTCCCAACTTCACCACTGGAGCCCACATGGGTGTATTTTCACATTTAAGTGGTGATCTTAGGCTGGGCATGGTGGTATATGCTTGTAATCCCAGCATTTGGAAGGCTGAGACAGGAGGATTGCCAGTTTGTGGATAGCCTGGGCTGGATAGAGAGACTAACAAACAAGCAAGCAAGCAAGTAAGCAAGGAAACATGCTAACAGTGCTAAAGTGAGCCTGGTCATAGCATGGACTCCTCCATGTTCGGCAGAGGGTAAGTATTAATAAAGAGTGGTCTCCATCACAGTGGAATCTAATAGGAGTTCTTTACTAGATTGATCAGGGCCTCAGGTTTTCTTAAGAGAACTTAAAGTGCTAGAACCCTGAAGATGTGGTTCAGTCTCCATCTGTGGTCTTGGGGCACCCTCTTGTGGGCAATGGGGGATTGATTAACCAGGTACCTTTGCTGGAGTAGGGTTTGTAGGGTATCAGACTTCAAAGGTAGCAGGCCATGTCCCTCCCCTGAGGAACCTCATGCAGGGAGACTAAGACTCAGATCACTAAGACACAGAGGACTTTCATTCTGGTTGAGGATGGGTAAAGGAAACTGGGTTCCCCGTGAGATGGCCTGAACATCCCTATCCAGAAGATGACGCTAACGTCTTTTCCTAGGTTTGGTCCAGGAATTGTGGCTGGGAGTAGTGGTAGAAAATTTCATGCCTGCATGGACATTTTGGCTCTGGGTTTCCAAACCCTCTGTTCAGATAGATTTGAACCATACTTGCTGGTGAGGCTTGTCTAAGCCTCAGGATCCCTCTCTTTCCTCCTGCTGGAGTAACATTCCTTTCATTTGAGTTCTACTGGGTTCTGTCTCCATTGCACTCAGATTTGTGGCCTTGCCGCTGAGCCGGTGGATGGGTATACGGGATCAAGTCAGGAGGCAGATAAAGCCCAACCCAGTGCTGGAGAAATACTTCCTCAGGATGGGGCAGAGACCCGTGGAGGTGAGCCCCCACATTCTTTTGACATCCACATGGTGGTGTCCCTGGAACCTGGGAATAAAAGCTGTGTGTGGCCCTTATTGGAGGTGGGTCAGGGACCTCTGACTCACCCATCAGTACCCCCACCCTACATTTAACCTGGGTCCATAGTTTCCCTGGTACATGTGACCCTTCTGTCTACTGGTAATTCAAGGCGGCACCTCTCCCAGCTGTGCTGAGAGTAGTGGACCAGTCCCATCCTCAGGTTCCTTGGGGTTTGAAACCACTTCCTCCCAGCATGAGTGTGCCCTTCCTAGTCTCCAGTTCTCTAGGTCTTGAATCCCCACCCCTCTTTTCTGCAGTGTGAGGTGACACCCCTTATCCCCAGCCATGATGGGGCTGCCCCTTTCAGGCTTCCTGGGTTAAGAAGCCCCACAATTTCTGGTTCCCTGGGACCTGGGGAAGCCTTCCTTTAAAGGTCTCAAGGCTTGAACCTGTCCCTCTTAGCCTTCCTGGGACATGAGGCCCTGCTTCTCCTGGTCTTCCAGGACTAAAGGCCTCATCCTGGCTGGGTAAAGAGTCGCTCTTTCTTTTATTTTGTGAGACGAGGTTTCTCTGTGTAACCCTGGCTGTCCTTGAACTTGCACTATAGACCAGGCTGGCCTCGAACTCACAGAGATCTGCCTGCCTCTGCCTCCTGAGTGCCCAGCTGGCAGGGTAGCTTCTATGGAGCAGAGAGCTGGGGTGGTGGACTAGTCTGCTTTCTGTTGCTGTGCTAAACATCGAATGCAAGTCGGAGAAGAAAGGGTTCATTCCGGCTCACACTTTCAGGTAACAGGCCATCACAGAGGGAGGTGAGGACAGGAAGTTGAGGCAGGACATGAAGCAGAGGCCATGGAGGAACACTGCTTACTGGTTTGCTCTCTCTGGCTTGGGCTCAGCCAGATTTCTTAACACAGCTCTCCCATCAGTCAATAATCAAGACAATTCCCCAAAGACATGGCCAGAAGCCCAGCTGATCTGGACAATGTTGAGATGCCCTCTTCCCAGCTGACTCGTGGTGGTGTCAATTTGACAATAAAAATTAACCAGGGGGTATATGAGACTCGACCCCCTCAAGGGGCTGCAGGAAAGCCTGCCTCTCGTACGCATAAATGCTTTTCCTCTGTGCTGGGGATGAACTGAGGACTTTGTTAATACTAGGCAAGCACCATAGAGCTATATCCCCCATTCTCCAGCCTTATTCTTGATGCCAGGCTCCACCAGTGACCTGTGTATTCTACAAACAGGGCCAGTGTTCTGGAAGTCCACCTTCCCCTCCTCTCTTTCCTCTCAGTATAGTGGATATGGCTCTGTGGCAAAGATCTTGAGCTTCAGGCAAGGAGGGAATCTAAGTGGGAGCCATGCATCTGGGGACAAGGGTAGGAGACCAGCACTAGGCCTGTGTAACCCTTCTCCCTCATTCCCTCTCCTCAGAACCAGATGGTCCTCCTGGCTGCCCAGTGCGGTCTCACACTGCGACAGACTCAGCGCTGGTTCAGGAGACGTCGGAACCAGGATCGGCCTCACTTGTCCAAGAAATTCTGTGAAGCCAGGTAATTGTGGGGGTGTAGGGGAGGTAAAGTCTGTTCAATAAGGCCCCACTCTTCCTAGCCTGCCTGGGTGATGAGGCTTCACCCTCGTAGCCTCCTTGTTACTTGAGGTCCTTTCCTTTCCAGGCTCCCTGGGATGTGAGGCCTAACCCTTTTTCAGTCTCTCTGGCAGGTGAAGCTCCACCTCTGGGGCCTGCACACTGCCCTTGGCAGCGGCCTCACTAGCTTCCTCCCTCTCTGCAGCTGGAGGTTTGTCTTCTACCTGTGTTCCTTCGTGGGTGGCATCTCTATCCTCTACCATGTGAGTAAACCTGAGGGTCACCTGTCCCACAAAGACCTACTGTGCACCAGGAGCTGGCCACCTGTAGTGAATGAATCTGCTAGGGAGGAGTGGGAGGCAGAGCTGAAACATGGGAGGAGAGAGCAGGAATGAGCTGTGGTGGAGAGAGCATGCTGTCCCACTTTGTTCTGTTGCTGTGATGAATATCCTGACAAAAGTAGCTCGAGGGAGAAAGAATTTATTTTAGCCCATGGTTCCGGGTTACAGTCCGTCATAGCAGGGAAAGAATTTATTTTAGCCCATGGTTCCGGGTTACAGTCCGTCATAGCAGGGAAAGAATTTATTTTAGCCCATGGTTCCGGGTTACAGTCCGTCATAGCAGGGAAAGGATTTATTTTAGCCCATGGTTCCAGGTTACAGTCCGTCATAGCAGGGAAGTAGCTTGAGGGAGTGGGTTACTGTTTCCATAATCAGAAACAGATAGCAAGGAATGCGTGCATGTTAGTGTTCAGCTCACTCTCTTTTTCATCCAGTCCAAGGCCCACTTCATGAAATAGTGCTACCCACAGTTAACCCAAATTAGAATAATCTCTCATGTAGGTATGTGCACAGACCAACCTAGTCTAGACAATCCCTCATTGAGACCACCTTCTCAGGTGATTCTCAATTGTGTCAAGTTGAAAGTTAAAACCAACCATCAGACTTAACACTCGGGAGTTGTGGGCAGAAGGATGGAGAATTCGAGGGCAATGTGAGCTACATAGTGAGACCCTTGCTTGAAAACTATAAAAGCAAGGCAGAGTGGAATTGGTATGTAGATGACTGTGGAAGTCCTGGTAGTGTGGGGGGGTTCAGATCCAGGGTAGGAAGCTGGTTTTTGCCTTTGGAGAGCTTCAGATCCTTTGTTCCTTCATAGGAGCCATGGTTGTGGACAGTGGCATTGTGCTGGGAAAATTATCCATACCAGGTGAGTGGCAAGTGGACTGTGGAGAAACTCAGTCCTTGTGGTCACAGGCAAAAGAGGCCCACTGTCTGCCTGTTTGATGAAGCCTGCCCCATTACCTGCCTGTATATGAGGCCTTGCCCTTCTTGCTGCGTGAATGATAAGGCTCCCCTCTCCTTCCTGTCTGAGTGGTAATGTCTGGCCTTTCACAGCCTGCCTGGGTACTGAGGGCCCATTCTTTCTAGTATTTTTGATACTTGTCCCACCTATACTTCCTGCTTGGCTACTGGCCAATCAGCACTTTAATTATCAATCAGTCATCCACAGCAAGACCCAACTCTCACAACCTCCCTGGGATGTGAGGCCTTATTACTCTTCTTCAGTGTCCCAGGCAGATAAGATGAGTCCTTTTTAACTTTCCAGGGACATGACCCCCTCCCCACCCAACTCCTTTGGCTATGATGCCTAGTCTCTTCTGGTCTTCTGGGACTTGAAGCTTTGCCACAACTTTCTGGACCATAAAGGCCCACCTCTTGGGGCCTCTCTGGGCTATGAGATTCCATTCTTCTCTGCACTTTGGATGTGAGGACACTCCACTCCCAACTCTGTTTTTGATTCTTCTGTAGAGGGAGGAAAATAAGACCAGGAGCTGCTCCAGACCACTATTCTGGATGACCTCCAGGGATGGGGAGTGCATGCTTTGCTCACTTACTGGTATTCAAGTGTCCAGGTTTTGGGTAACCTGGGAGATGCTCCATCCAAGTCCCTTCTAGGCAGGAGCCTCCACACCTCACAGCTAATCTCTCCTTACCTTGCTGTAGACCCTGAATGTGGCCCTGTACTGGTGGTACCTCTTGGAACTGGGCTTCTACATTTCACTGCTAATCACTTTGCCCTTTGACATCAAACGCAAGGTGAGTTATATATGAGCTGGGTGTGTGGAGATGCCTCCTAATCTCTGGGGAAGGGGCTGAAGTGGGATGAATTGGCCTCAACATTGCACCTTGAGGTGCCCTTGATTCCTGGCAGAAAGTATGGGGTCCAGAGGCCTTACGGATATCCTGAAAAGGCTTGCTTTCAGGCATGTGGCCCTCCAGCCACAGAGGCTTGTCCCAGTGGTGACCCACTGTCTTCGGCAGGACTTCAAGGAGCAGGTGGTGCACCACTTTGTGACCGTGGGGCTGATCGCCTTCTCCTACAGCTCCAACTTGTTGCGCATTGGCTCTGTGGTACTGCTGCTGCATGATTGCTGCGACTACCTGCTGGAGGTGGGTTCACCTCCACACTTGTCCTGCCAGCCCTGCTATTCTCCTGGCCATGGAGAGGAGGCCCTGCCCCCTCAACCTCTCTGGGAGGTGAAAACTCGCCCCTCCCTCTTTAGTTTCCCAGCAAAATAAGGCCCATTCCCTCTTGGTCTCTCTGGGACAGGAAATCCCCATTCCTGTCTGACTCATTTGGATATGAGGCCCCGCCCCTCCTAGCCTTTCAGGGACTAGAGGCACCATGCCCCAGTTTTCCTGGAGATGAAATATTCTGTCTCTGTCTTGTCTCTGCCATTCTCATATTCTTTGCCCTTCCTAGGTAGTTCTGGAGATACGGCCTTACCTCAGTTTACCTGACCTTACCTTATAGCTTCTTGTCCCCAAGTTGAGGCTCTCCACTTCCCATGGGTCTTGGTCCTAAGCCTGTTTCTCTTTGCTGCTCTCCGCAGGCTTGTAAGATGTTCAACTACACCCACTCTCGGCGAGTGTGCAACGCTCTCTTCATCATCTTCTCCTTAGTCTTCTTCTACACTCGCCTCGTGTTCTTCCCCACTCAGTGAGTCCTGAGGGCTAGGGAGATGGGAGGGTGTGTCCAGGGTCCAGGCAGGCCTCACCCCTGGTGCCCTACCTCAGGGAACTGGAGGTGTTGGCTGAAATTGTTCCAAGAGGCAGGAAATGGTGTGCCTGGCCCAGAGCACAGCATATGCAAAGGCCCAGAGATAAGAGAAACAGAAACTGAGTACAGCACTAATGCAATGCACTCCCAGAACAGGAAGAGAGAGGAGGAGGCTGTCTGAGTGCCTGGTCACTAAAACAGTCTAGTAAATATTCTTTGATATTTGTTAAGCCTCTGGAATGTGTTGGGATGAAGAAATACCAGAGAGCAATGCAGATGCCTGCCCTCCTGGAGCTAAGTGATGTGGGTGAGAAAAAGGATAGACAGGCAAACCAACAGACCACAAGGCACAAGGGATGACAGCACTGAAGAGAAAATAAAGCTAAGGAGTCTGCCGGAAGCAGGTTTGTAGGTAGTTGGCCATGGCTGAGCCTTCTTCAGGGATATTTCACTGATAGCTGTTGTATATAGAGAGTGAATGGGGCTCAAGAACCATAGTGACCATAGAGGAAGATGGTCCAGGTGACAGGAACAGCACATGCAAAGGCTCCGAGGCTAGACTGTGTTCCAGTGTTGGAAGAACAGAAATGAGCTCATGTGGTTGGAACAGAGAGGATAAGGTGAATGCAGGTAGGTGACCAGGGCAAGTAATGAAGGACCCTATGGGATGTTATCTGAAGGGAGGTGGGAGCCAAGGAGGGCTGGGGCAGATGAACCAGAGCAGGTGAGAGAAGAAGACAAGAAGGAGATACCATCAGGGCTAGGAAAAACTACAGGAGACACCACTGGCTCAGCTGCTCCATGCTGGTTTTGAGGGGCCTATTCTCCTTTGTAGACATAGGGGAGGCAGATAGCATGTCAGGCTGTACTTTCTGGAAGGGTGGCAGTATAAATGCAGGAGTTGCCAGCTTGTGTTAGGCATTTGCAGCAGGAGGCTGAGTGCCATCTGGGTGTGGATACAAGCCAGTTCCCAGAGCTCTCCGATGTTTGTTGGAGACTGACAGAGAAGTTACAAGAGGTGAAGACTGGAGTTGTAGCCAAGTTCAGTGGTAAAGAGCTTGCTGGTGCCTGTGAGGTGCAGGGTTGGGGAGGAGAGGGAGAGTGAAGGAAGAGGAGAGGGAATCGGAGGGAAGAGAGAGAAGGAGGGGGAAAAGAAAGAAAATAAAGGGAGAAGATGGAGGAAAAGATAGAATAAAAGGTGAAAATGAAAGGAGGAAAGGAAGAAGAAAAAAGAAAAGATGGAAGGAAAGATTAAAGAAGGAAGTGGAAGTTGGTGAAGAAGATGGAGTAGGAGGAGGAGTATGGAGGAGGAAGAGGAAGGAGGGAGGTGAGTGTGGATTAGGGAGAAGAGGGAAGAAGATGATAAGTGTGGAGGAATGAGGAAGGTGAGGAGGAGGAGGAGGAGGAAGGGAGATGAGTGCGGAGGAAGAGGAGGCAGAAGAGGCAGTAGGAGGGAGGAGGGATAGGCATTTGGGCTACTAGAAGGCACAAGAGCCTCAAGGGGAAAAGAAACGAAGTAGCCAGGGGCAAAGATTGATAAAGTGTGTTGGATTTTTCTTTCTTGACAATGAAATGACAGGGTTGGTTTTGATGGTAACGGATGTGTGTAGGAAATTAGAGCTGTGGCCTTGCAAAGAGGTGGTATGGCCAGAGCTGGGTCAGTTGGCAAGAGGGTAGAGATGCAGGAACAGTGGGTTCAGGAACATTGTCTTTGGCAGCCAGTGGCTCTGTTAGATGAGTAGGTAGGTCTCAGGTTGATGTAAAGAGTTACTGTGTATCTAAGGAGAGATGAGTAATCATAAAGTTTCACCTAGGAGGGCCAGTAGGACACTTGATACTTCCTTGGAGTTTGTGGCGCAGAAAGGCCAGTAGGCAAACTTGTATGTTCCACTGACAGTATAAGCAGGTGAAGAGAGATACCGTCTCAGGAGTGGGTACTAGTGAGGTTCGGGAGCACAGACAGTCCATGCAAGTTCCTAGAATGGGGACCTGTACTGATTGGTGAAACTCCTTCCTGCTTCCTGCTTTAGGGTCATCTACTCCACTCTGTTTGACTCCATCAAGAGCTCGGGCCCCTTCTTTGGGTACTACTACTTTAATGTGCTCCTGGTGATGCTGCAGATTCTTCATGTATACTGGTTCTGCCTTATCCTGCGAATGATCTGCAGTTTCCTGATGAAGGGTCAGGTACGGAGGCCTGACAGGGTCAGCTCCCATTGCCCCTCCTTGGCCCAGTGATCCTCGCTCTGTTCTGAGCTCTGGCATCATCTCTTTTTACAGATGGGAAAGGACATCCGTAGTGATGTGGAAGAATCAGACTCCAGTGATGACGAGGCAGTTCCTGAAGGTCCCCAGCTGAAGAATGGGAAGGCTCGAGGGTCGGGACCAGCCATCGCCAATGGCCCTCGGAGCCGGGCAGCTGGGCGCCTGGCCAATGGGCATACCCAAGCCACATAGACAACCTAGGAATGACATTGTGGGGTTTTCTCCAGCATTGTGGATATCTGGATGCTGGGCTGGTGACCCTGGGAGACAGGGAGGCCCTCCCCGAGGTAGGAAGAGGACTGATGATCTGTTTCCAGCACTTCCCTCCTGTCCCTTCTCCCTTTATCCCTTTGAGCAACTGGACAGAGCCTGGGGGAGCAGTGGACTCTGCATCTGGCCAGAGCCACCTTCAGGCTGTAGCCTGAGGGCTGTGGAGAACCTTGGCTTCAAGGACCAATAAAATTTCAACAGAGATGAATTCTCTGCCTGAGAGCTTTGGTTCCCTTCACAGCTTCTCCTCTCCATTACTCTGTTGACAAGATTCCTCACTGCCACATCAAGCTTTATGTCCATTCCCACCCACATAGCATCATGGCATGAAGATACTCCCTGCCCCTCAGTCTACACCTTCACCATGTTCTCCACAGTAGCCTCCAGGACAGTATTAGCTGATAGGCTCTGGCTTACAGGAAAGAAGGTATTAAGCTTAGCTGCTGCTCCTCTATCTGAGGTTACACAGCATTCTTGGTCCAAGTCAGAAGGTAGTAGCAGAGACCTAAGCATGTCCTTGTAGTCCCTTGCTTAAAGTAACCTGCAGTCCCACCCTGGGGTCTTTATACTCTTGGGACAGTGGAGACCCAAGGGTTGATGTGAGGTCACTGTCTTCAGAAGTGCTATAGGAGAACATTCTCCTCCAAGATGGAGGCTGGGTGACCAGTGTCATTTAACTTATCAATCAAAGCCACAGGATCCATGTATGGTTAGACCATGCCATTTGTGGGAGGATGCAAGAGGGACTGAATGTCATGGAAGAGAGAGAAGCAGAGACAGTGGGGAGAAGCAGGCCACCTTGGGGGACATCCAAAAATAAATGCTCTGGGGACAAAGAGCAGAGCCTGGCATGGCAGTTCATGACTGACATCTAACACCAGAGAGGAAGAAGCCAGTAGGCTGGAAAAACACACAAGCCTGGGATACAAAGCAGGACCCAGTCTCAAAACAAGCAATGGGAGGGGGTGTCAAGGAACAGGTACCTAGAATAGAAAACAGGACAAAAATCTGAGATAGAAACAGCTAAGAAAAAGATGGAAAAATGGGGGAAGAATGAGGGCCATTTATAGGTGCAGAATGGGATGGTGAGATGAGATGTGGATTTTAACTTCTTGGGATATATGGGAGAAATGAAGAGAAATATGGCTTCTGTTGAGAGAATAACAATTCAAGGGGAACAAAAGTTAAGTAACACAGGCAGAGACTGCAAAGACTTGTGAAAGAGCCAGGAAGACAAGGCAACAGAAGGAAAGGAAAGAAAAAGGAAGTGGGGTGGGGGAGATAAAAAGAAGAATAAGGAAAAAAGGAGAAAGAGAAAACTGTTGTAGATAGTGCATGGATGAGTAACCTGGAAAAGAATAGGAAGGGGCATTTGAGAAGGAAGGAAGAGGGATATTGATGAGAGAACATGAGGGATGGAAACGGGTATGGCCACTAGCCTGAAATAGGTTTGATGTTATGAGTCCTTCTGTCCTGCCAGCCAGTCCCAAATTATGACACAGAGACTTCTAATTAATTATGAAAGTTCAGCTGGTAGTTTAGGCTTGTTTCTAACTAGTTCTTATAACTTAAGTTAACCATATCTTTAATCTACATTCTTTTACATGGCTTGGTTACCTTTACTTTGTAAAGCCCATGCTGCTTGCTCTGTGTCCCTGGCATCTCCTCACGACTCCACTCTTCCTCTTCCCAGCATTCTCTCTGCCCTGAAAATCCTGCCTACCTATTGGCCATTCAGCTTTTTATTAAACCAATCAGAGTAACACATATTCACAGTGTACAAAAACATTTTCCCACAACATTTCCCCCTTTTTGTCTAAATAAAAAGGAAAGATTTTAACTCTAACATAGTAAAACTATATACAGTAAGAACAATTATCAGGTATTGTTTAAATAGAAAGGAAAGGTATTAACTTTGACAAATGAAACTAGATGCAATAAGAACAGTTATCAAGTAAGAATTACATCCACAATGTCCAGTCCATTTGTATTTGGCAAATTTAGAGAAAACATTTCATTATCTATCCTCTCTTGATGAGTCCAAAGTTTAGTACTAATTTATCTTCTATCATAACTAAGAAAAACTATAATTATCTAGTCTTCAATTCCATCAAAGACCCCGGAAGGATATAATATTACCAAGTAAACAGGAAGTGTAGTGCAAGATGCTTCCACACCTATAGAAATGACAGGCATCTGTCACACAAGTTTCCTCTGTAATACTGGGGTATCTGTCTTTGCCCTACAGACCTAGACTATCTGGCAGACTTTTTTATGAAGCATGAATTTTGAAGGGCTGTCCTGCCTTATCTTGGCAAAGTTCAACAGTCCTTTTCCTTTATGTCCTGCTTGTCCAGTTTGTACAACATACTGTCAGCAGTCAAGGCAAAAACAGTTTCTTTGCCCAGTGGCTAACCTTGCCACAATGAAAGCAAACTGTATAAGGAGTTTCTTCGATACCCATTATCTTTTCTGAAGTAAATCGGTGCTGCCAGGAGCAGACATGTCTCATTGTCATAAAAAGCCTCAGGTTATTAAACATCTTAAATGCCATATTCTGTAGGTCTTTGGAGTGTTTGAAGACCATCTAGCTAAATGTATCAGTTTAATCTTGTAAACATACCTAATATGACTAAAAGTTTGATTATCATAGAAGACTAACTAATAACCTGCATTCCTTAATTATACATTACATTTGTAAATGAGCTGCATAAACACAATACCTCAAACAAGAGTAGAAACATAATTCAGTATAACAAAAATAACCTTAAATTTGTATCAATATATAAAAATCCATACTAATATAAAGTATTTGAGACAGTGGTTGTTCAAAAGTAGACTCAACAATCCACCCTTTTATCCTATCATTTCTATACTATATCTCCCTTTTTTCCTTCAGAAAAAGATCCCCAAATCTAATCTCCTTTATTTAGCTTTCCCCTGACCATGACCAGTAACAATTTGTAACCAATCCCCCTAAATGATGACAAACATTCATAACTCAACAAATGACCAGAAACCATCCACCTCACCTCTTGGGAATGTGGGCATTGTCTTCTCCAGACTGCTTCCTGTTGCCTGGGGGTGCTGGAATCTTCAGGACCTTGAAAAGTTAGGATAATGGTCAAGTCCTGGCTAGAATAGTCTGTAAGGCTGGACCATCTCAGCCAGCAGACTTGAAACTGTTCTGGATACAGAACTCTGAGGAAACTACAACAGAGGCACTCTGAGAGCCTGGATCACCTGGGCCACCAGTTTTCATCAGTGTCTGGTCACCATGCTCTGAAAACACATCCACTTTCAAAGGTAACATACATATTAATGCAAGTATGGTCTGTGCATTTTACACAAGCCAGCCAAAGATTTTGTTTGTTTGTTTGAGCAGGTAAAATATATGGCACCTGTATTGTAGTTATTTGAGGTTTATTTCTTTATGTCTGTAACCAGAGTTTTCAGGGGGTCTTCCCCAATCAAATCTAATCTCTAACAAACTTGAACAAATCCACAGCCTTTTGTTTCCTGTGGAAACAAAAGCATAACTTCTTCCTCAAAGCAATACATTTTTTGAGTTCCATTTTAAATAAAGTTAAGGCATTCTTAAAGTATCTATGCTGGTTTTTGTCAGCAGTCCCTTTCACAATCCCATGTCTCCCAGCAGCTGTCAGTTGCTTATCAGCAATTAAAAAAAAAAAAACAAAGACAACACAATAACATAAAGGATCCCGACTCCCTGTGTATTTCCTGTCTTTACATGGCTTATTCTTTTTTTATTATTTTACTCTTTCTTTAAAGACTTTATTATTTTTAAACTATTTTTATGACTGTCTATACCCTCTTTCTTTTTTTTTCTTGCACCTATACTCATTGTTAAACACACTGTATCCTGTTTAGAAGTTATCCCACCTGAAACTGTTTTACTGTGTATCTGTAACCTTTTCTGTCTGCATGAGCAAAATCTTAAATGCAACTTAGCTCATTGTAGCTAGCTCCACTCCCCTCAGTTTCCTGAGAGCTTAACCTCATAGTGGAGGTAACAGTTGGAGCCAGGGTTACTGCCCAGCTCTGGGACGTTTCTGGGTCCATGCTGCTGTAGGCAGCTACCTAGTCTCATGCCACCAAGTAGCATGCTGCCAATTGCTCATACACCCCATTCAAGTGCTTAAGTAGCAGGGCTTCTTAAAGGAGCCATGCCTCTGTATACCACTAGCACTGATCCTATCTGAAAGACTGTGGCCACCAGGAAGGCATGTTTGACTCTGTTCCAAACTCTTTTTTTTTTAAGCTTTTTCGGGCCTTATGTGGATATAGATGGTCCCACACTGGGTGCTGTATGTTGCAAGTCTTTCTCTGTCCCACCAGTCAGCTCCCAAATTATGATACAGAGATTTCTTATTAACTATGAAAGCTAATAGCTTAGACTTGTTTCTAACTAGTTCTTATAACTTAAATTAACCAATATCTTTTAATCCACATTCTTCTATGTGGCTCTTTACTTTGTGAAGCCCATGCTGCTAGCTCTGCATCCCTGGCATCTCCTTGCAACTCCTCCTTTCCTCTTCCCAGCATTCTCTTTGCCCTGAAAATCTTGCCTAGCTATTGGCCATTTAGCTTTTTATTAAACTAATCAGAGTGACACATATTCACAGTGTACAAAAAGATTATTCCACAACAGTTTGAGGCCAGCCTAGAAGGAGGACCAACCTAGAAAAACAACAATAACAAAAGCACAGAGTGGACATGCATAGAGGTGCATGGACACAATGGAATTTCATGTCTCTGTAAATAACAAATCATTATAGTTATAGGAAAATGGATGCAACTGGAAATCATGTTTGATGAAATGAGCCATAATCAGAAAGACAAATACTGAATGTTTTCTTTTGTGCAAAACTTAGATTTTAAATGATAAATATTTGTGTACATGTGTGTGTTTTAATTTATATGTTTAGAGGTCATAAAATATAAGGGACCATAAGAGAGGAGGAAGCAATCTTAAGAGAGATCAAGAATGTAATACATGTGACATGGAAACAGAAGGGGAAAGAGAACCAATCAGAAGGGGACAACAAGGGGGAGGGGCACAGGAAAAGTAACGAGTGAGTGAATGAGAACAAAGTTTAATTACTCATGTGTATGAAGATGCCACAATAAAACCCATTGCTTTTTATGTAAATGTAAAAAAGCAAAAAAATAGGACCAATAAACTTAAAGTACACACTGATTTACTAATGACCTTAGTACAGAGTAATACTGGATTCTTGCTTTCTTTATTTTTTTTTGGATTTTCAAGACAGGGTTTCTTTGTGTAGCTTTGCTCTTTCCTGGAACTCATGATGTAGCTCAGGCTGGCCTCAAACTCACAGAGATCCACCTGCCTCTGACCCCCGAGTGCTGGGATTAAAGGCGTGCACCACCACTGCCAGGCCGTAATTCTTAAATGGATTCTTAAAATGGGATTAGTAGTTGTGATGGTTAATCTCCATTGTCAGCATGATGAGATATGGAGTCAACTTGGAGATGGGCCTCTAGGCATACCTGTAAGGGAGTAATTTGATTAGATTAATTGAAGTGAGAAGACCTTTCCACTATGGGTGGCATCATTCTGTGCTGAGAAGAATGTGTATAGCCAAATATGAAGGTTAATATTGATTGGATGGAATATTCTGTAGGTATATGCTAACTCCATCTGATCTATTGTATAGTTTAACTCTGGTGCATCTTGGTTGACTTTTATTTTGGATGACCTATCTATATGAGAGTTTGGTATTGAATTCACGTACTAATATCATATGAGGACCTATTTTCCCATTTAATGTTTATTTTATGAAGCTGGAGCCCCAACATTTGGTGTGTTTGGTTTTAAAGCTCTTGATAGAATGTTTTCCATCTTTTGATTTTATTAGCGAGGTGTATTTCTCAGAGACAGTATAGAGTTGGATCTAGTTTTTTCTTAAATATATGAATAGATTTTATTTTCATTTTATAAGAATTATTTAGAGGTTGAAGTTTCCTAGAACATTGAGAGGCAGGTACAGAGGTTTCATTGTTCCCTTTCCCTATCATGTGTAGGCTTCTCCCACTGTCAACATCCTCCATCACAGTGGTGTATTTGTTACAGTCCACACTGACACATCCTCATCCAAAGTCCACATTGCACATTAGTGTTCATAAAACACCTGGTTGCCAGTAGAAATCAGTCTCATCAGGTTGTTTTTTGTAATGCAGATCTGATCAAATCACCTAGGTGGCCACCAAAACCTGGCCCCTCCACTGACTGGTTCTTGGAGACTCCTTTCACATCTCCCAAGAAGACAGTCAATACTGTCAATGAAACCTCCTTTTTTTCCTTCCTCCTTCTTGTTTTTTTTTTTTTTATTTAATACAGGATTTTATCTGTAGCCCAGGCTACACTTAAACTTGCCCTCCCAACAGCCTCCCAAGTGCTGTAATTACATGTGTGTGCCATCACACCAAACTAGGGTTCATATTTTGTATTTACATTTGGTGGATTTTGATGAATGTGTAATGACTTGTGTTCACCACTGAAATACCATAGAGAGTCATTTCACAGCACCCAGTCCTCCTTGCTCTTCTGAGTTATCTCTTCCTCCTTTCCAACCCCTGTCAAGCAATGACCTTCCTCCAATCTCCATGGTGTTCCTTTTCAGTTTTTAATCCAGTTAACCAGTCTGCATCTCTTTGTTAGTGAGTTGAGTCAATTACATGTAGATTTTTATTGAGAAATATCTATTAATTTCTGTTATTTTTGTCAGTTGGATTATTGTTTGTTCTTTATGCTGTCCCATGTTAGTATCTGGTCTATTTTGTTGGATATAATGGACTCTTTCCAGATTTCCTTTGTTCAGCTAGTCTGCCCATGAAATCTTCTTTCTTCTGCTTTAGTGATTGAAATTTCTTCTGTTGCTCATAGTATTCCTTTAGTGTCCTCTTCAGTGCTGGCTTGGTGGTCAGGAACTCCCTCAGTTGTGTTTATCTTGAAATGTCCTTATTTCTTTTCAAATTTAGAAGATCACTTCGATGGCATAGTAGTCTAGACTGGAAATTATCTGCTTTTGAGACTTGCAATATATCATTTCCTGACTTCCTGGCTTTGAGGGTTGCTGATGTTACTCTGATGGTTTGTTTTTGTAGGTGAGTTTATGTTTTTCCATTACAGCATTTAATATTGTTTTTTTGCTTTGTGTTTTTGACATCTTGACTATAATATGCAATGGAGAGGATCTTCTCTGGTCATGTTTATTTGGGGGTTCTGAATGTCTTTGTGTTTGAATGTCTGAATGTCTTCTAGGTTGTAATGTTTTTGAATGGATGTGCTGCACCTCTGATGTTTACTTCACTCTTTCTAGGCCTGTGGGTTCTTGTCTTTGGTCTTTCACAGACATTGTGGTCATGCTCATTTATCTTTAGCTTATTGGTGTCTGCATGTAGTATTTATCCACCCTTCTCCATCTGGTAGTCTTCTTCTACTTCCTTAGTCCATTCTTCATGCTTCCCACTGTGCTTTTTATTTGATTTATTTTTTTCAGTTTCAACACTTTTGTCCCTCCTCATCACAGTCTCATTGCTTAGGTTTTCTCTCATGTTGCTGATTTTTTCATCTGTCTTATTAATGACTTTATCTATAGGTATTGATGATATGTATTGAATTAATCTGCCTTTGAGTATCCTCTTTCAGGCCATTGATAATGTTTTGTATTGATGATATGTATTGAATTAACCTGCCTGTGAGTATCCTCTCTCAGGTCACTGATAATTTTTTTGCAAGAAAACTTCTAAAGTGTTTATTTGATAGTTTCAGAATGTTGAGTTCATCAGTTGAGTTATGCTCTTTCAGGGAAATTATGCTGACTTCCTTTTTTATCTTTCTAGTATTTTGTATTGTAGTCTTCACATCTGCTACTTTGTATGTCTGTCCTGGATTTTGGAGAGGTGGTGATGGTGGTGAATTTCAGCAGCAGCTTAGACCATAGGGAAAGTAAGTGCCATGAGTTTACTGATCTCTTTGCCAGTCTCTAAAACCTCAGAAATCTGATGCTACACTCCATCTTTTTTCCTTTGTGATTTTTGTTACATGTTTAGTGGGATTTATACCATGGTAGAAAACAGTGTAGACGTTACTAAGGAAATTGAAAGTAGAACTACCATTCAATCCAACCATATCACTCTTGGGTATATAGACACAGAAGACATCTACAGAAACATTTGCACATCCATGATTATTGCTGTACTTACATGGTGGCTAAGAAAAGAAAGCATGCCAATACCCATCAACAGGAATAGATAAAGGAAATGTGGAGCATATTCACAGTGGCATTTGTTCAGCTTTAAAAAATAAAGTCATGACATTTAAAAGGAAAATTTTGGAAATAGAAATAGTTAAATTGAGTGGCTTAAGACACAGTCATAAGTATAACTACTACAGGGGGCTGGCATTCTTTCTCTCTCTCTCCTCAACCCAAAAGTAGAAAGTAGCCAAGAGGGGGAAGTGAGGGAGGTGGAAAAGGGCTGGGGGTAAAGAAACACATAGATGAATATAGAAATGAGAATTGTTTCGAGATAAAGAAGAAGCAGGAGGAGGTAGATAGAAGGGATGGGGTATCAGTTTGTAAGGGGGATGAATAGAAACAAAATGTATGTATGAAAATGTACTAATGAAATCTACTTCATGTGCTTACTTGAAAATTAATAAAAAAAATTACTAAGCCTTGTACCTGTAATGTATTTTGTCCCTGAGACCCTGAATAGAGTTCCTTTCTGGTCTTCACAAAATGATATAGCACTTGGGGGCAAAGATACAGCCTAGAAGCCCTGCACTGGATGCCAAGATGGAGAAGACCTCCACAGCCACCATGACCTTCCCCTTGGTGCTGTGGTAGACAGGGAGGAAGGTGATCCAGACACTGCAGAACACCAGCATGCTGAATGTCAGGAACTTGGCTTCATTGAATATGTCAGGCAAGTTCCTGGTCAGGAAAGCCACAGTGAAGCTTCCTAAGGCCAGAGCCCCCAGATATCCCAGCACACAGTAGAAAGCAGTGACTGAGCCCTTGTTGCACATGATGATAATGTGTTCATGTTCAGAGTATGCATCTGTGTCAATGAAAGGGGGAGATTTCCCCAGCCAGATCCCACACAAGGTAATTTGGATCAAGGTGCAGATGGGAACAATGAAGTTAGGTGCTCGTGTTACCAACATTCACCTGATTCTTCTTCCTGGAGCAGTGACCTTGCAGGCCAGAACCACAGTAATAGTTTTGGCCAAGACAGTGGAAACAGCCACAGTGAACAACACTCCAAATGTGGTCTGCTATAGGGTGCAAGTAGCTGTGTTGGGGTGGCCAATGAAGAGAAAAGAGCAGAGAAAACAAGTTAAGGGTGATGAGCAGGATGTACCCGAGAGTGCGATTATTTGCCTTCACAATGGGAGTGTCCTGCTGCTTTAGAAAGATCCCAAGAACTAGTGCTGACAGTGCAGAGAAGTACAAGGCCATGCATGACATACCTCTCCCCATGGGATCATCATAATCCAGGAAGGTCGTGGATTTTGGGAGGCAATGGTTTCACTCTCTGTTGGCATATTGATGATCTAGACACTTCACACACTGATCCACATCTGGTGAAAACATGTATATTTGTTATTTCATGTTCATTATTTTTCTTTTGTTCACTTCACCTACTCATTTGAGTAGGTTAGCCTAATAGCTCTTCTTTGTTACTTCGGGCATCAGATGAAAGAATGCTCTGTGGGGAATAATGTGACTGCTGCCCATTGCCTGCATGGTGACATGGACAAAGCTATAGTTTCTCCTCCTAATTCAATTATGTGTTGTTCTGAATATTCTGGTATCATTATTTTTCCCCTTCCCAGAGACTTATATACTTACTTACACTATACAGCTTCAATTTGGTTGCAATATTGCCTCCATATGAAATATTTCCTGGGCTGGGGAGAGCTGATTCAGTGTATGTGCTGCCTAAGCATGATGACTTGAGTTTGGATTCTCAGGACCCACATAAAAGCTGGGTGCAGCAGCACAAGCATCTGTAATCTCAGTGAACCCCTACAGCAAGGTGAGAGACAGAGAAAATACTTCCCTGGATGTAGTGGGTAGCCATTCCAGCTTTGATCTGGAAGTTCCAACCCCCACTGAGACTTCGGCAACTGTCACGCCTACAAGGCGGGGCCAAGGGAGGCGCCTGGAGACCTGAGATCTGGATGGGCTGAGCTCTCGCTCTGTTCCGGGACCCTGGACGGTGGAGGCGGGCCAAGCAGAGCTCCAGAGAACACCGCTGGACTGCAATACACCTTCCCCAGACCCCGCGACCTACCTATTCCTTAACTTGTAAGTTACACCATTAAATAAATCTTTTAACTACGTGGAGTGGCCTTAATAATTTCACCAATATCTGGCACTCACATGGGGCAAATTCCAAAGGCCTGGGTGGCTCCCACCCTCAGCCTCCTCCTCGGTTTGCGGGTACCTAAACCCGCCTGCAAAGTTCCATATAACCAGGGAACGCCTACACAGTTCCATCCCGGAAAAAGAGAGCAGCTAGTCCAGTCCCAGTTCCCTAGCTTAGCCCCCAGACCAGCAAAAGAGGCACTCCCCCGCTTCCTGAGTGCCGGCTCCAGCTCCCGCCATCTTGACTCCAGCGAGCTGCAGTCAGTCAAGATCACCAGCAGGCCCTGCTTTGGAGCTGTACCAACGCCACCTGCTGGCTGAAAAGTGCTACTACACCCCCCAAAACCATGAAAGGTAAGCATATTGTTTCAAGTAAAAGTACTTGATAATTTTACACCTTAAAATTGACTAACAAATTTTGAGTAATTCTTGTAATATGGCCGACAACATTACCTCACAAGAATTTGAAAACCTTTTTGCCTGTATGATGAATGACATCTTCCTGGAAATATACGACCTTCCTAAGGCATATCTGGCCTATACCATTTTAGCATTCATCGTAATAATTCACACAGTGTTCAAACACTGGTTTAATAACAAGAACAAAGATGAGTCATTATTGGGACTGATACAGGATTTAAAAAATAGCAATGAAGACTTACAGAAAAAGATTCTCTCTCTGGAATCTGCTAACCAGGATTTACAGGCTTTCAAAGATAGCAATGAAGACTTACAGAAAAAGATTCTCTCTCTCTGGAATCTGCTTTAAAAGAGAGCAATGAAGGCTTACAGAAAAAAATTCTTTCTCTGGAATCTGCTGATCAGGATTTACAAAACAGGCTTGTACCAAAAATTGATCTTATTGATAATAAATGTGAATATTTAATGGACAGAACACTAACTCTCCAGACACTATATAAGGAAGAAAGATTATCATTAATTGATAAGATAAGGTCCATGGAATCATGTGTTTCTGAGGAACATAAAAACTTCTATGATTCCATGAGAAATCTGGAGTCCCTTGCCAGAGAGGAGGTTCACTCCCTAGAACAGACCCTAGGTGCTCGTTTGCAAGCCCTAGAAGAAACTCTCAGTAAACATGACAAGGGACCTAATAAGCAGAAGGGCAAGACCATAGAGGTTGTAACATCTCCAAATGGCTCTCATACAATGGCTTATCCTGTTATTATCCATGAGAAGCTAGCAGATGACACACACCCCGAGCCATATAATACATATACATTACAACCAATTTCAACAAGGGACTTTAACAATATAAAGGAAGCAGTAGTTACCTATGGGATACACTCCACATACGTAAGACAGATGTTAAATTCATGGTCTACCTCACATAGAATCATCCCAGATTACTGGCATCAGTTAATTTTAGCTGTTCTAGAATATAGCCAGCAGCTACAGTGGAAAAGCTGGTTGAGAGAAGAGGAAAAAAATTTAGAACAACAAGGTAAAATCAGAGGTTTTGTGATCTCCCAAGATCAAATACTTGGTGAGGGATGTTTTGCTGACAGGAATGTACAAGCCACTTATGATGAGCATACAATATCCCTATGCCGTACAGCAGCTCTAAATGCTTGGGAAAAAAATTCCAGAACCTGGAAAACCAACTTAGGTATACACAAAGATATTTCAGGGACCTCACAAACCCCTCACCAATTTTTTACAAAGGCTGAACACAGCTATAACAAAAGCTGTATCAGATAAAGAATTAAGAAAAGTATTAACTGAGTCCTTGGTGTTCGACAATGCTAATGCAGAATGCAGAAGAATACTTACACCATTAAAGATCAGATCAGCTCCTTTGGAAGAATGGATTCAGTATACTAATGGTGTTGAGTCTTATAACTACAGTAATGAGGCTTGGATAGGAGAGACAAATCCCAGAGGTGAAAGAAGGCCCCGTGTTACCAAATGTTTTAAATATGGTACACCAGATCATATAAGTAAAAACTGTACATGGGGTACTCCTAGAAGTAATACTCCTTTCAGGAATAGCCTAAACAGGAGACCCCAAACACCTCCCGGATTATGTAGAAGGTGTGGCAAAGGCCGACATTGGACCAGTGAGTGCAGATCAAAAATAGATATATGAGGCAACCCTTTACTGGCAGGAAATGTCTCAGGGGGCCTCTTGCAGGCCCCCAAATCAAATGTAGTACGAACATTCCCAGCCACTGTGGAAGAAATTTCTCTCCAGGACAACCAAATAAACCAATGCCTAATGTAAAAACCAATACTGCAATGGATGATAAAACAGCTCTGATAGGTGGATCACAGTTTACAAAGAACACTATAAAACAAATATTTTGGCAGCCTTCCGTAAATGAACAAAGACCAAAGCTTAGAATTCGAATTAATGGCCTGGTTCTGGAGGGCCTGGTAGACACAGGTGCAGATGTGATTATAATTACACCAAAATCATGGCATCTGAATTGGCCTCTTCAAGAGGTAGATGTCCAACTTTTAGGAATTGGCACCCTATCTCAGATAAAACAGAGTTTGAGATGGGTTGAATGCATAGGGCTAGAAGGACAGAGAGGAAGGCTGAAGCCATATGTAGCAAATGTAGCAGTAAATCTTTGGGGCTGAGATCTGTTACAACAGTGGAATACCCAGATTAAAATTCCTACACTTTCATAAAAGGAATACAGACCAATGCATGTTTCTAGGAATAATATCATGACATGCTATAAAAATCAGTCACCAACCATTCAGGCTGCTCACAAACAGAATACGACTGCTGTTGAACTCTCAGAAGTACCAACTGCCTTACCTTTAAAATGGCTAACTAATAAACCTGTCTGGGTTGGACAATGGCCTTTGACAAAAGAGAAGCTACAAGCTTTAGAACAGCTGGTTCAAGAGCAGTTAAATGCTCAACACATTGAAGAATCTACCAGCCCTTAGAATTCTCCTGTGTTTGTTATTTAAAAAAGTCTGGTAACTGGAGAATGTTGACAGATCTGAGAGCTATTAATAAAGTAATTCAGCCAATGGGCTCCCTACAGACTGGGATGCCCTTGCCCTCTCTGCTACCTAAAGAATGGCCTGTAATAGTTATTGACTTAAAAGACTGTTTCTTTACCATACCCTTACAAGAAAATGATAGAGAAAAATTTGCCTTCACAGTACCTAATTATAACAATTCTCAGCCAGTCAAGAGATATCAATGGAAGGTCCTCCCACAGGGAATGTTAAACAGCCCTACTTTGTGCCAATACTTTGTGTAGAAACCATTGGAGATAATTCGTGTAAAGTTTCCACAATCCATAATTTATCACTATATGGA